TTATACTCCTGAAGAGTTTGCTGAAATAGTAAGTAAATACTTTGATCAGTTTGATATTATTTATTTTCTTTAAAATCTAACAAATAAAAATCAATAGGATGAGGATGATAATGAATTAGAAGTTGAAGAAGTATTTGCCTTCACTTCTAAGTTGCGAGTCCTAAAAGTAATATATACAACCGTCCCTGTAGAATATCCAGACACCTCTGCAAACGGTGTTATGGTGCATATCACCTAAACTCATCAAATAAAATTAGTGATTTTAAAAAGCTAACTACTTGTTAAAATTATATGATTAAAAATGTAAACCGATAAAATTACACTTTGAGTTCTTCTCTTTCAAATTATCGGATTACTTTTCCTTTATCTAACATATTTCAAAAGTTATTAAAGTTTAAAGTTAGCATATTTTTATATATCTCTATATTAACTTATATATAAATGAGAAAATTTTTGAATTATTCTATCATGTGATATTGATTATAACCAATTATATTGATTTATTTGTTATAATAAATTGTGATCAAAATTTTAATTACTAAATAAAGTTAGACTATTGCCTTATTTAGAAGTAATAAATCCTAATTTAGTAATAATCATCATAAAATAAAAATTCGGACTATTGATGAGTTTAGGTGATATGCACCATACTACTGTATACAACGTAACTGGATGAAAAAATCCTAGTGATGTGTTTTCAGATGTAAGTATATATTTGCTTTTTAAACATTATAAAATAAAAAATTAATATAATTTTTAATTAAAATACATTTTTTATTACAATGAAGATTCAATTCAATTAATGGATCAGGCGGTATTATACAGATTAAAGATTGTCCCTTCTTTGGTGATATATCTGTTAAAAAGGATCAGAGAACATGTCAAGGCATCAAATTTTGTGAATTTACAGATCAAGAACTTGTTAACCAGGAGCATTGTAGTGTTGATTTTGATTCTGAGATTTTTCAACTCTATATGCAGAAAACTGATGAAAATACCAAAGAAGTCAAGACATACACGTAAAATTTTCACTTATTATTTTAATTTTTAATATATAAGCATTGTTTCCTAAATATTTATGATTTTATTAGTTTTTTTTTAGCAATAAAAGAAACTTCTTGTCCTTTTAAAAGAAATAATATATCTTGTGATGGAGAACCTCGGATTAGAAGGATTACTGACTATCAAACCAATGTAATATCATATTTTATTGGATGTAATAAATATCAGAAAAATGAGAGATGGCATTGATTTATAAGGATGAAGCCTGATGAAATTGATATCTCATTACTTCAAAATCTATTTGCAGGTTTTATACCTGTAAGTATTTATAATTTCTTTTTTTATTTTATTTTTTTTGAATTTAGTATAATAATAAATGCTAATTTATTATTTAGGAACAAACTAAGACGTCACAATGCAGTATAATAGTTTCCAAATCTTGCAAACGTAAAAAATGTGGTAATATATTAATATGTTAAGTTTATTTATAATATGTATTTGACTTTATTTTGTTATTTCAACTAATTACTACTTTTTTAATCAAAGATGTAGTTCATGTAAATAATTAAAATATTGATCGTGGTAGAATTATTAATAAACCTTGTCCAGTAAGGTTTATTAAGTTTATTCCAAATAATATTACTGAATGTTCTTTTATTGCTCTTGTTTGCATTGAAATCCATAATCACCCCCCTCCTTCACCAGAAAGAACTTTATCTGGAATTAAAAATAATTTACAATCCTTAATTGAACAAGACATTCATGAAAATGATACTATTACTTCAAGATCATTACTATCAGGTAATTAAGTATAAAATAAAAATAATAGTAATTATTTTATTATTGATTAATGTTATTAATTCAATCTTTCATCTATATATTTATTAATAGAAAATCTAATTAAAGCTTATTTCAATAAAGAAACTTTGGCTGAAGTGCATGTGTCACTTAATAATATTGACAAATTGCGTTACTTAATGGAAAGGCATATAAAACTTTACATCCATTTGGACAGGGAATTATGGGTGTTTATTATAATGTATCAAATACAAGTTCTGATTTGGTTCATTATATTCGCAAAATTGGTAAATTTATTTAATTTCTGTCTTAATTTACAATGAGTGAGTTATAGTAATAATTATTTATTTATTTAGATCTCTTTACAAGTGACAATCAAGTAATTATTACATGTATGCTTACTGAACAAGCCAAAAAATTAATTACACTTGAATGGTTTTAAATTGATGTTAGTTTTAAACGTGTAAAAGGAGAGATTAATGAATTTGAAATAAATACATATGATTCTGATCATCATTTAAGTAAGTAAAGATTTCTTTTTAATTAATTGAATGTTTAAAATGTAAATTTAAATTATCTTTATTATTTTATTATAGTATTATCACTGTGTAGAGTTTATATCTTTACTGCTGAAGGATACCATAGATTATTCTCATCATTATTTAAAATAATTCATGAAGTAAGTGGTCAGCCTATTAAATTTCAGCACATTCACCAATAAGATGTTGGTTGTATCTTGGCTAATTTAGATGCAGCACAAGCCAAGGGTTTGGGATTAGCTCTGCATGATCTGGATCATGAAAAGGACTGGCAAACTCATTTGACATTTGTTTTCAAATCATGTCTCATACACTTTGAAAGGTATTTATTGATTTTATTAATTATTCACAATTTCACATATTATATTTTATTTTTAATTCTAATTAAATTTTTTTTAGAAATTTGCGCAATAAACCATTTGATAAAACTACAAAAAATCTAATAAGATAAATTCCTAATATGTCTAGCAAAGAACAAGTCTATGATCTTCTACAGCAAATCAGAGATACAAATGATAAAGGAATAGAAGGTATATAGTAGTATTTAATTAAAATTATCTATTTTTAAAAAAAAGTTTATTTAATTTTTTCTTTTTGTAGACTGGTTGAGCTATTATCAGCAGCTGTATGTCATAGCTTCTTTATATCAATATATTTCAAAAATTAATCCTAAAATTTAGCGCAAGAGTGGTACAAATACAAATAATGACGAAGTAGCATATACATGCCACCCAAATTATTTTGAGCTGCCGTAATTATAAGTAAAATCCTAAATTCAATTATGGCATCCCAAATTATTTTGGCACTTTACATAGTAAATTATATATAAACTGAATGAATTACGGCATCCCAAATTATAATTATGACATCCCAAAATAATTTGGGCAGCATGTATAAAGTAGCACATACTATGGTAAATAAAGAAGGAAAGCAACTGAGTTTATTATCAGCTATTTCAAGGTTAGTTGGTTATAATTTTCTAATTTAAATTTAACATGTAATCATCTTTGTAATCAAATAATTCAAATCTTAAAAGAGGAAAAAGATATGATGAACGATGTTATAAGACAATTGAGATTCATGATAAAACAGGAGTCCCTTATACTCATCAGGATAAAAGTGAAGTCAAGAGAATTCAAAGATCAATAAAACGTAAAGGTAAATAAGAATATATATTATTTACTATTTAATTTTATATTAAAATACTAATATTTTCTTCAATATTATAGAATCTTATATTCGAAATAATAATCTTGATACAAATGATAAATTGCCATAAAAAAAAAAGAAAGTTTTTTTCCTCTACTAGCAAAACCAAATAAAAAAAAAGACAAGAAGATTCTGCATCAGAAAATGAGGAGACAGCTTTACCTAAGACTAATAATAATGAATTGCTCAAATTAGATATTGAAGAGAGAAAGATGATATTAAGAGAGCGTGAAATTAAAATACGGGCAGCTGAAGCAGAAGCACGACTTATAGAAGCTAAAGCCGAAGCGTTGGAATTAGAAAATCAGAAAAAGAAATATAATACTGCAAAGGATAAATAAGATTTTCTCTTTTGTAAATTGCGAAAAATTAGATAAATAAAGTTTATAAATTAGTGAATATTTTAATTTGTGTATTATCTTACATTAAATACACGATTTTTTTAATATTGATGATCCAGATATAGTGAAACAATCAATAAGTTTATCAAATTTAAAATTTCCTATTGGTTTATTTCAAATATATGGTCAATGTGAAATCCGAGATCTATACATTCATACAGGGTTAATATATATATATTATAGAAAGCAAGTATGAACATATGATTACACAATACATGTTCATACATAGTACAAAAAAAAGAACCATACATACATACATCGACAAACATACAATACATGAATTTCAAGCACCATTTTTTTTCAAAGGTTTGTTTACCTTCGATATAGAAGCCCGGAACTCAGTTTCAGCTTCCTTTAACTAAAAAAAAAGATGACATGTTAGTTAACATTTGTCAATAAAAATAAAAAAAATTAATTTTTTTTATTGAAGGTTTGTTTACCTTCGATATAGGAGCCTGGAACTCAGTTTCAGCTTCCTTTAACTAAAAAAAAGATGAAACGTTAGTTAACGTTTATTAATAAAAATAAAAAAATTAATTTTTTTTTTTTGAAGGTTTGTTTTACCTTCGATATAGGAGCCCGGAATTCAGTTTCAGCTTCCTTTATCTAAAAAAAAATAAGATGAAACGTTAGTTAACGTTCGTCAATAAAGTTAATAAAAAAAAAAATTTTTTTTTTCGAAAGTTTTACCTTCAAAGTAAAGTTCAAAGCTGTTTTTGGCGTTCAGGACCTATAAAATATAAAAATGAACATTAATTAACATTCGTTAAATAATAATATAAAAAAAAAATTAAAGGTATATATAGGTTTTACCTTCGACCTTTACCTTCAAAATTAACATCCAAAGCCATTCTTTGGCGTCCAGGACCTATAATCGAACGTTAGCAATGTTTGTTAGATAACTTAATTAAAAAAAGTTATTTGAAGGTCTTATACCTTTAAAATAAATGTCCAGAGCCGTACTTTAGCTTCCAGAACTTAAAAATATAAAAAACGAATGTTAGTGGTATTCGTTAAATAAAAAAATTATTTTTTTAAAATAAATTAAGTTTCAGAGGTAAGCATATCTCCAAATTCTAAAATCTTTGATAGATTTCATCCAAAATCTATATAATATAATAAAAAATTATTATTTTTTTTAAAAATAAATTAAAGATTCAGAAGTTAATATACCTCCAAATTTCAAAATCATCAATAGGTTCCATCCAGAACCTATATAATATAATAAAAAAATCTTTTTTTTTTGAAAATAAATTAAGTTTTAGCCTCTGAATTCCAAAAATCATCAATAGGTTTCATCCGGAACCTATATAATATAATAAAAAAAATATTTTTTTTTTGAAAATAAATTAAGATTTGAAGGTAAGTATACCTCTGAATTCCAATATCTTTGATAGGTTCTATCTGGAAACTATATAATATTAAAAAAATTATTTTTTTTAAAAAAAATTAATTAAGATTCAGAGGTAAGCATACCTCTGAATTCCAATATCTTTGATAGGTTCTATTTGGAACCTATATAATATAAAAAAATATTTTTTTTAAAAAAATTAAATTAAGATTCAGAGGTAAGCATACCTCCGAATTCCAATATCTTTGATAGGTTCTATCCAGAACCTATATAATATAAAAAAAAATTATTTTTTTTTAAAAAAAATAAATTAACTGTTAAATTTTGGAGGTAAGCATACTTCCGAATTCCAATTAAAATCATCGATAGGTTCCATCCGGAACTTATATAATATAAAAAAAAATTTTTTTTCTTTAAAAATAATTAAAGTTTCAGAGGTGATATACCTTCAAATTAAAATTAACAATAGGCTATATTATGTTCTTGACTTACAAACTGAACGTTAACTGACGTTCATTAAAAAAAATTTTTTTTTTTTCAAAAAAGAAAAAAAAGGAATACGACTCCTTTTTTAGTTTTGATTTCCCTGCATGTTGTAGATTATGTGCCGAATGTTAGACGAATTTGCCTTAAAGACTCTACAACCTTGCAAATAAATTTTTTTTTAAAAAAAAAAAATCTCTCTGATAAGCTTTGAAGCTTAAAAAATAATAGAAATATTTTTTCTTTGGAATCTTTAACAGATTATTATTTCCTAAAAGATGTTGTAGAAAAAATTATTTCACAAAGTTTTTTTCTTTAGTAATAAGTGCTATAGTAGAAAAAATTATTTTTTAAAGTCTTGTAAAGTTTTTTTTTTTAAAGAGTATTGTAGAAAAAATCATTTAGGTATTAAATCAAGTTAGAGTTAATCAAAGTTTAAATATTAAATTAATGATGAAATTGCAGATCGAACTAATATTTTAATGAAAAAAAAGCAAAAATCTGCAAAATTGCAGACTTCCGCATAAATTTCACATAAAAAAAAAGCAGAAATCTGCAAAATCACAGATTACCGCAGAAATGCATACATAAAAAATTGGAAACATGCAAAATCACAGATTATTGCATAATTTTGTAAAAAATAAAAAGTGAAAATCTGCAAAATCGCAGACTTCCACATAAATTCATATAAAAAATGCGAAGATCTGCTAATTTTACAGATCTCTGCAGTTCTGCATCTTAAAAAATTTCCTGATGTTAGAGCTACTAATAAAAAATATTTTTGGGACCTTACCTATATAAGTATTTTCCAGGGTCCTGAATTGGCTTTTCAATAGGTCTAGTTTCTTCTAATAGGTTTTTCCTATTTACTCTTTTTACCACAGGTCGAAAGCTAAAAAATCGGTCATATATCCTATTGGTAACTATTAAACTAATAGGTTAGCCAAAAATTAGTAATCAATAGGGTATATACCCGATTGATAACTATGTAAAAATTTAGGCTATCCGGATTGAAAGGATTTATTAATTAAAATAAATTAGGTAATTATTCAATAGTCATCATTTGGTTTATTACTATATGTGAAACTGAATCCAATAGGTATAAACTGATTGGTAGCTATAAATTAATCTGTTGGTCTAATAATACCATACATATATATTACATTATTTTACCGAATTTATAATATTTGACAATACATTTAATATGAATATTCACTAAGTATACTTGGCAAGTATAAAATAAAATAACCAATTTATTACGATTTATTAATAATAGAAATTATAAATGGAATTTCCTATTAATTGGTACTACTGCCATATAAGTTTTCGCCTTCCATCTGCTATTATTGTTATTGTTATTTGTTCTGATTGTAAAATTAGTAGAAATAAACTGGCTATAAATATTATGAATTGGAATTATACTATCACAAGACATTTCATAAAATTCATTAAGTTTCCAGAGTTCAATATTAACATTGCGGTCATCGTTCTGTTCAGCTCGGCAGTAAAATCTAATTTGATGATCATTAACCGGTAGGTACCATTTGACGTAAGCAAGTATGTGCATTCTTTCACCAATAGTTGGAAGTCGCAATACATGCTTGAAATAAAATTGCACCATTCCTGGATATAATTCTATCGATTCGTTATCTTGGGTAAATAAATTTTGCTAAAATATAAGAACTTTTCTTATATCAAGGTGCTAGCGCGAATCCAAAAATTTCAGCTGCCACTCAATTCTTTCGCATTGATTAATTATTGGTTGAACAACTACATACGAATCATTCTGTAAACCTTGACTGATCAGATTTGACATGAAGCTGAATTCAACATCCATCTTTTTACCATAAACTTCATTATAATAAGTAATCAACTGTTCATACAAATTGTTGGGTAAATTAACATGGTTTTTAATTGGACTTAATAAATTGCCTGAATAAATTTCACTGCTAGTGATCCACAGGTCAAATGCTGAAAAATCGGGCATATACCTTATTGGTCCATCCATCAATCGCTTTATAGAGTTAAAGAATTAAATGAATAATTAATAAATTATAAATTATTAAAACAATAAAAATATATTTAAAAAATAAGCTTACCAAGCGTTAGATTCTCGAAATCTTCGATAATTTTCTTAATCTTTTTATTAATTCTTGCCGTTTTTTGATTTAAAAATCTACCACTAAGCAATTCACGTGAAGGCGGCACATATTCTGGTCTCATTTCATGAAGAAATTCAATAAAAAATGGGTTTTCAATAATTGAAAACGATATCCCACAACACGTAAATGCGCACACGAGAGCCCGAGTAATGAAAGCTTCTTTTTGAGGAGTTATTTTGGCAGACTGCAAACCAATCAGTTAACTCTCGTTGTTCCACCTGAATTTTTCTTTTTTTATTATTTTTTGGTGAAGGAATAGAGGCATCTTCACTTCCAAAATCTCGTGAAGAAACTACACCCAAATAAAATGCATAGACTAATTCTGGACACTCTTTGCAATTATTAGCTAAATGTTCTTCTAATTGTTGTGGGTGACCACGAGCCCAAAAAGTTTTACAATAATTACATTTAGCTGAAAAATGACCGGCGGACTTGAGAGGTTTTTTTTCAAAATGCTTCCACACTTCGCTCTGAGGACGACCACTGGGCTTTTTTTCTTTTTGCTGAGAGTTCATTATTACAATAACGCGAAAATACAAAAAATTAAAACAGGAGTACACAAGTAATGTGACAATGGTGACATTACTAATATATAGCTGACGAAATTTAAGGGGAATTGTGTTAAAATACTTAAATGAATAAAATGATGATTACTAATTTATCATTATATAACTATTGACAAGGTAAACGAACTCAGGACGGGAGGTTTTTTTTATTTTTCTTTGTGTAACTGCTATATAATCGATCAAATCAGATCTAACATCTAAAGATCTTCATTGTACTTATATTATTAATTTCGTCATATGACGAAATATTCGGAATTTTGAAATTTAAAATGGAATGCTGAATATATTTCGGTTTCGTCACATGACGAAATATTTCGATTTCGCCCAGCATCATTAGTACACATGAAATCTTCATTATCACCAAAATCCTCTAATTCAGGAGCAGCGAATCATTCATCATCAGAAGTTTTATCATTCAAGTCTTCACTTTGATCGTTATCAATCGGTGAGCTGAAGCCAGTATCTTCATTATCAAGTTCATCAATCAATACATCATTAACAGCTGATTCCACTACTTTAAATTTCTCTTTTCTTTCTCGTTTAGTCAGGATGTGAATTGGTTCTTGCGATTCAGATGTTGATGAATTTGATGAACCTGATGAATTTGAGGATGTGTTTGAAGTTTCATCATCATTATTGTCTATTTGAACTCGCTTTGATACTGATTTACTGACCTTTGTAGATCTTGATAAATGATTCATTTGCTTATATTCAGCCTCATGTTTTACTTATGTTCTTGGATCAACTAATTTTTCGTTACATTCATTACAATGACACGAGACTTTTTTTCTGGGTTTGATTGCAGGTTTTGGTGGCATATTATTATTAATTGCAATATATCAGATTATAACTTATTATTCAAGATAGAATCGGTACACGTTATATCAGAATTGACTCAATAATTTTTCTTAATACTGAAAGTTCGCTGTTACATTAATCAATCGGTATAAAATTCATATTAATTAAGTAAATTTAGTATAGTATTAGATTAATTATTCTGATTTATTCAAAATTAAGCAAAGTTTAATAGTATTAAATTATGAAATTGTCAAATTTTCACCGGTGGTGATTTTTACCGGTCATGTGATCATGTAATTACTTATGTTACATAACATAACATATATTTATTATATTTATGAAATTTGTTTTTGCTTTGTTTACTTTGCTTTTCTTTTAATATTTTACGTATTTTTAATACAAAAATATTACTTTTGTTACACTATTAAACCTATAGGAGTATATTTCAATTTCATAAAGTTAGATATAATATTTATGAAAAAAAAACACATTTAAATATTTGTTTTTCTGTTTACCAACTTCAAAGCGTAATTTCAACACTTTAGTCAAATGAAATCAGCTTTCTTTATTAAGTGAAAGTTGTTCAGCGAGGTTGAAACTAGTTGTATATCAAATTTCATGAGTGTAAGTTTAATACTTGTGGAGAAAATCACGTTTTTCATAATGGTACTAACTTTTGAATTTTTTTTTTCTATTTGTGAACTTCAGAGCGTAATTTCACCACTTTAGTCAAATGAAATCGTCTTTCTTTATTAAGTGAAAGTTGTTCAGCGTGGTCGAAACTAGTTGTATATAAAATTTCATGGATGTAAGTGTAATACTTTTGAAGAAAATCGCATTTTTCATAATGATACTAACTTTCAAATTTTTCTTTTTTATTTGTTAATTTCAGAGTGTAATTTTACCACTTTGGTCAAATGAAATCATTGTTCAGCAAGATTAAAACTAGTTGTGTATCAAATTTCATGAGTGTAAATGTAATACTTTTGAAAAAAATTGCATTTCTCATAATAGTATTAACTTTCAAATTTTTTTTTTCTGTCTATTAAATTTAAAGTGTAATTTCCTTACTTTAGTCAAATAAATTAAGTTTTTTTATTAAGTAAAACATGTTCAATATTTAAAAAAACTACTTACATTTAATTTTTTTTCTCGGTAAAAATTTGCAAAAAAATTTTTTATAATTTTGGCTAAATCATAATTTCTGCCAACATTAATAATGGTAAAAATCACCACCAGTGAAATTTAGCAATACTCTTAGATTATATCATTCGATTTGTTTGGAAAATTAAGTAAAATTTAGTATAGTATTAGATTAATTATTCCGATTTATTCAAAATTAAGCAAAATTCAGTATAGTATTAGATTATATCACTCGATTTGTTTGGAAAATTAAGTAAATTTAGTATAGTATTAGATTAATTATTCTGATTTTTTTTGAAAAATTAAGCAAAATTCAGTATAGTATTAGATTATATCATTCGATTTATTTGGAAAATTAAGTAAAATTAGTATAGTATTGGATTAATTATTCCAATATTTTTGAAAAATTAAGCAAAATTCAGTATAGTATTAGATTATATTATTTGATTTTGTTTGATAAATTTATAAAATATTACGTGTAAGTTACAGTGAAAAATATTATTTTGTAATTACATATATTAATCAATTGAATTTGTGAAAAAAGTTTGTGAAAATATTTTGGAAAAGTTTCAAAATATTGTACTATAAATCTACGAAATTCTGCGATGTAAAATTATGAAATGTTATACTTTCAGAAAAGTTTTGAAATATTATACCGTAAACCTACAAAATTCTGCAATGTAAAATTACAAAATATTATACCTTCAGAAAAGTTTTGAAATATTATACCGTAAACCTACGAAATTCTACAACATAAAATTATAAAATATTACACTTTCGAAAAGTTTTGAAATATTGCACCCGTAAACCTATGAAAATCCTACGACATAAAATTATGAAATATTACACTTTTGAAAAGTTTTGAAATATTGCACCTGTAAACTTACGAAAATCCCACGATGTAAAATTACAAAATATTACACTTTCGAAAAGTTTTAAAATATTGCACCATAAATCTAAGAAATTCTACGATGTAAAATTTACATACATGGCAATATTACACTGTAACTCTACGAAATATTACACGTAAACTTACGAAATATTGCGTTGAAATTACTGTTGCGTAATTTTTCAAAGGTCATGTAAATTTACGGAGTATTTCGCAGGCATAAATTTTTGTAATATTATGCTATATTCAATTTGCAGATGTACTATTTGAGGCATTGCAGATTGTACTGGTACAACAAATTCAGGTCTTAAATCTTCAATAAATTCATGAATTTTATTTAATTCCATTCATCTATTAGTAGGGGTCTACTCTTTTCCATAATTCTGTAATTGCTGCAATATATTCCTCAATTGTTTTTTCTTGCTTCTGTTTTCTATTTCGCAATTGATGTTTCCACTAACTAATTCTAAAAGAATTATAAAAATGATCCTTAAATAAATGTGTGAATGAACGTTGAAGACTATTATCATTTTCCCAAAAGGTAATATTTTAACGATTATAACAAATTAATGCTGTTCCCTTTAAATATGATGCTACTAAAAAATTGCTTGTTCTTCGCTAATTCTATTAGCCACATAAGCTCAACTAAAGGTTTCAATCCATTTGACAGAATCCTGGTTTCTTCCTTTGAAGACTGGAAAATCAACCAATCTAGATTTTCTAGATTCAACTCCTTTTGCATAAAATTTTTGTGCTTATTGAAAAAACTGTAACATAATCTTATTTTGTTCATTTTTATCAAAAGGAATTTATTGTTTTTCTGGTTCTTCATCATCTTGTAAATTATTACTAGAAAAGTCAAGAAGGTTATCATGTCAAGGAAAATAAAAATTAAGAATATTTGATAAAATAAATAAATTAAATAAAATAAATAAAATAAATATATGAAATAAAATAAATATATCAAATAAAATAAATATATTAAATAAATAAAAGAATTTTTCTAACTATCACCAGGGTGATGATCACCGATAGCTAAAATTATGATGATCGACCAGCATTAAAAAAATATAGTACCAGTATAAATTGAATAATTCTGGCTAACGGTGATAATAACCCTGGTGATTTGAAGTAAAAATCTAAATAAAATATAACAAATAAAATAAATAAAATTAATAAAATAAATAAATCAAATATATCAAATTTATCGAATTTATCAGATTTATTAAATAAATCAAAAAAATCAAGAAAATCAAAAAAATTAAGAAATCTACAAAATAATCTATAAAATTGATCTATATAAAATTACTGCACCATATTTCTACTTTAACAATATGATTTTTACTTTAGGCTTGGAGGTGACCTATTTTTGCTGAACTCTGTTCTAATAATGCAAGTCTAGCCTTAAGCTCTCTGACTCTAGACTTGAGTTCAGCATTCTCAGAATCACGCCTTGCATTCTCTTCAATAATTTGCCTTAGCTTCGCGTTCTCAGCCTCAACCTCAGCAAATCTTAGTAACTTCTCTCTAAGTTCAGGAATCTCAGCATTCTCTTTTCTAAGTTTGGCGATTTCAGCTAGGAGCTTGGCATTTAATTCTCTCAATGAATCAGTGGATTGCATGTTTGATAATAATTTTTTATATAAGATGGAATAATTCAAAAGTTCGTTAGCATAGATAAAAAAATGAGGTAATATTCTCATCAGAATTACTGATTAATTGATGTAAAAAATAAATTACAAGATTCGTAATACATAAACTTGTTTTACAAAGTTTCTAAACTAATGCCTGCCGGTGTTTCATTTATCTAAGGTTAAGCTATCTATATACTAACACGATATTCTAATTCTAGTCCAATTTCATTTGTCCCCAACATCAATATTCTGGAATGGTCATCAGTTATGCATAGAACACGCCATAGTCAGAAGTAAATTAATAGTATTGATCTTAGTGAAACTCACTGAAAGTTTATATTTTCTGCCTAATAACGTTCTAGAAATTTCTGAACAAAAAAATAGATATTAGCTCTGCAGGCTCTGGGTCACTTTCTCGCAAATGTACAGCTACAACAGAAATATTTATTGTAAACCTCATCTGAAACTTCAATAATTCTTTGTCAATATTTCTTTCAGAGAAAAATATTACAGCTTGAGTAAGAAAAAAAAGTTGTGTCATCAGTATTTTGAGCATTATTTTTCCATTGCACACATTAGTCAGATCGACAAAAATTTTATATAAATATCCAGATTTGTTCTGATGAAACTTTTTTCATTTTATTAATGTAAAAATTCACATGAAAATGCTGGTATGAACTGGCCTGTTGTTTGAGGGTCTGAGGTCAAATAAGAGTAATTTGCTGTTATATTTCGTCATAATGTGATACTGATAATACCAGAAAAATGTCAAATCAATTAAGTGGTTTGATCAAAAATGATTCGGCGGATAGTTACCATAGAAAAAGGTATGCATCGTAACGTATTATGACTCAAAGTGATTGCACATCTTTTTATATATATAACGTTCCCCAAACCATAGAAAATGTTTTAAAATCTTTCTCACTTACATCTGTAGACTCAGATACATCATGGTTGGCTGTTTTATTTTAGGTAATGGTGTTACTTTTAATTTTGAAATCGGAAAATACGTAGACTTTACAGAATTAAAGAAGGCCATTTGGGAAGATGATAAGGATTACTTTGCAAGTATTGGAGTAAATAATGACAAAAAAATTAAGCTATGGAAGGTCGAGATCCCTACTAGAAATAATGACAAGTATGAAAGACTTCTGGAAAATCATCGTGTAGATCTTGATGTTAAAGAAGAATTTAGTGGTGAGAGATTGAACGAAACTTGGCACATTGATTTAACATTCAAAGAACCTCCTCCAAAGGAGCACATTCACATAATCGTGCAACCACCATCTTTGCCCGCCACCACTGGTAAGTATCTCCCAATGGTTTACTTCTCGAACAAGAAATTCGCGTTATCTCACATATTTTTTTATTCGATCAGGGAAGAGACAATTGGATTTGGATTATTGTGATGAAGAAAGTAGAACTCGAAAAAAAGGGAAATCAACATGTATGTAATATATACTGGACATTGACTTGTAATCTTGTTTTTTTAAAATTAACTTTTTTTTTATTTATAAATTATTTAAAGATCCCGAAGAATCAGATGAAGGACGAGACAATCTTATGGTTATATCACCAGATAGATTAAAGTCGATCGTTGATTTTGTGCAAAAGCATCAGATTGTTCTTTTGCGTAGTCCGCCATCTTCTGGAAAAAGTACTGTCGGTCAGACACTTCGAGACTTTTTTAAAAGTCTTAGTGATGGCGTATATATTAATCTTGCTGGCATGTGCGGTAAAGACGAAATATATAATAGTAACAAATTTGATAATTACTGGAAGAAGATGATTGGTCGTAGCTGGACAGAAATTAGCGAGTGTAAAGAGGAAATTTATGTTATCATTGATGAAATACAGGTTATCTATGGTAATGGTGCACCATTCTTTTGGGGCTCATTAAAGACTATTTTGTCAAGTGAATCAAATACTCGAAATATTTATATTGTTTTACTTGGTGTATATCATCCAAATGTTGAAACTATATCAATACCTCTTGATCTCCAATATACACTTAGTCTAAGTGTCCTGCTTCTAACGTGGGAAGAATTTTCGCAACTTGTAACAAAATTTATTCAGAGACATGTTACTTTGGGAAGTATGAACTTTATCATTCCTGACCCTGTTCAAAGGGCATTATATAATCTAACTGCTGGACATGTTGGTTTGTGCCGGTTTGTTTTAAGAGTATTACGCGATCAATTTTGTGAAAATGGAAAAACAGTAGAAATGCTACAATATCTTGCTTCCACCTTTTTGTTTAATAGTATGATTGGATGTGCCCGCGCTTTTTATTGGATCCGTGATTGGAAAGTAAATAAGTCAGAAGCAGAATTTATTCGCAATAAGTTATTACAACCAAACACTCCCTTTTCTGGTAGTTTATTAGATCCTGTTATTAAGAAATTTATTAGAATGGGCCTTATAACAACAATTAACACTAATGATGAACGATTAACATTTTCTGCTCCCATAATGCGATCTGTTCTAAGCAACTATTTGTTTAAAGCACCTTTGAATGTTAATCAATCACCTTCAAGCACATTTGATGAGTTTTTATTACGAACTATTGAGCGGATGAGCTCATCTACTTTAAAAGAATCGCTTGGAAAAAGGTCATATTTATACGAAAGAACTTGGCAAATGGAATGGTTCTGTACAGCTAAAACGGTAATTCCTGAAAATGCATTAGTGAGTTCTGATATTGGTGAATCATTTGGTTCAGTAGGATTTCTTGATTTTTATGTAGATAATGGATATTGCTGGGGGGTTGAACTGATCTGTGAGGGTGAAAAGTTGAAAAAGTATGCTGAAAAATTTGAAAGTGATGGTATATATGCTGAAATTCCACTTAAGCAATGGGCGATTCTTGATTTCCGGCATAATACAAAACAAGTAAGAATGCCTAAAAAAAACTTTTGGTATGTACTCTATTCAGATGATTACAAAACAGTTATTATTAAACGTAAAGATTGTGATGACATAAAGTTAAATTTGCAAGGTGATTGTAAGTCAGAACTAAAGTCAGAGCTAGTATTAGAACTTTAATTATAGCTATACTTGCCTTTTTTTGTATTTTAAGTTGATTATATAAATATCTCTATTATATTACAAAAAAAAATAAAAAGTTTTATTTTGCAAATCACACAGCTAGAATAAAGCGAAAACTTTATTAATGATTTTTTAGAGAAGCGAATGAAATATATGATACTATCAAAGAGGGAGGGAGTACGCAGATCCTAAGCCATTTAATGCGAGTCTTAGCACCATATTATTTTTTTGCCTTACATTTATTGTAAATTTTGCTAATACTTCTAACTACAAGGTTCTCTAACTTTCACATATTTAAGAAAAATAAATAGAAGTTAGCTTATCGAACATGTATTCGCATTATTACATCATAGGTGCAACCGTGAAGAATCTTCATGATCAAAAAATCACATGAATATTCAGGTCAAAATTCAGAATAAAGAATAAACGTTTCTCAGATATCCATCTGAATCTCTTTTCTTGTCAGCAAATCTATATGTAGTCTCAAGCATGATATCACGTGGTAGTTATAAATTTTGTCACAATTAGTGTCATTTGTATAACAACCAAATAATACGGCCAAGGACTCTAGGATTCTGAAGAATACATATACAACTCAGATCCAGATCCAAAATTTTAATATAACTTTATACACCTAATTTTATTAGAAGCTTTATACAAAATCATCACATAAGTTCAAATTTTGTTATAAATTATACAATTATAAATCTGAGTTTATATAAAAAAAAAATTTTTAAAGAAAAATTTCAAATAAATTTTATTGAAAATTTTAATAAATATTATTAAAAATTCTAACAAATACTTAAAAATTTTTTTTAAAAAAAATTATTAAAAAATAACTTAAATAAAATTTTTAAACAAAATTGCATGTTAAAATTTTAAATACCTTATAGATATTGATGCCCAATATGTATAATATAGTAAGTTTTATGCAAAAATTTGGATGTATATTACAAAATAAAAGAAAATACATTTTGTTATATATCTCACCATCCAGTGATCTTAAAAAGATGAAACACAACTCGTTGGATTCGTCTTGACAAGACGAATCGAATGGTAGTAGTTTCGTGTTTCTAGGTGTGATAGATGCTGAGCTATACCACACATCGGCACTTTGTATTTTTGTCTACTGTGCATTTTTACATTTTATCACATAACTCGGCATCTATCGCGCCTAGAAATATGAAACTACCACCATTCGACTCGTTGTATTGAGGCGAATCTAATAAGCTGTGTTTCATTTCTCTATGATCACTAGATGCCGAGATATGTAATAAAATGTATTTTTTTAATTTTGTAAATGAATTTTAAAAAAATTTCTTCATTTTTATTAAAAAAATGTCTTAAAATGAACCTTTAAAAACTTCTTAAACAAAAAACAATTTCTATTAAAAAATGTTTTAAGTGTTTTTTAAAACAAATAAAAAAACTCTTTTAAAAAATATCTTAAAAATTTCTTAAACAAAAAATAAAAAAAACTAAAAAATTTTAACGTATATAAAAAAAATTCTAATATCCGTTATACAAAATGAAAATCTTACTTATTGTAAAAATCATTATTGTTATACAAATAAAAATCTGACTTTTTGCATAACTGCTATTTGGTTATACAATTTCAAACATATGGCTTATTAAGAAATTACATAGTAAGTTTATACAAAATTGGATTTCAGTATTATATGTATTCTTTGAGGTTCTAGGACTTTCCATCTTCTTTTTTATAATCTTATTTATCTTCATACACAATAAATAAGGATTTCAACAACTTGAATAATGGTTTTTTTGTTGTCTAGCGTATATTCTATGAAATAGCATTTTTCCACATCTGTTATTATTCATATTGACTTGATTGTGACATTTTGTTACAGTATTTTATAACTTAAAATTTTTATAAAAATCATGTATGTGTGAATAATTATTTATGCTGATTACTTTTGCCAAGAAAATTTTTTATTATTATATGTGAAAAAGATTAGGATTTAGTCCATAATACATGATGTCTATGCTAATACTTTATTTTGTTATTCTGTTTTTATCCGCTTTCTATTGACTAATGATGATTTTTACTAATCAAAAACCCATTTGATTTGCTTAAATAATTTCTCAATAGGTCTAATTAGGTTATTGTGGGATAATGATGGGTAGTTGATAGGGATAAAGATAAGGATTAAAAATAAGGATTAAAAATAAGGATTAAAGATAAGGATTAAAGATAAGGATTAAAGATAAGGATTAAAGATAAGGATTAAAGATAAGGATTAAAGATAAGGGTTTTTTCTAGGGTTAGGGTGATTTGTATAATTTTTTGAAAATAAAAATTGCAAATAAAAACAGAATTTGAGCAAGCGACGTCGTTCGACCAACTTCTGTGAACTACTGGACGTCCAGGCTCTCGTTCTTCCTATTTATATTTGCACAAATCAATAAAACTTATAATTTTGAATCTTTTCCAAATAAAACCCAAAGTCCATACATGTGGACTTTATTGCCAAGCGCTAAAAAATCGTATGATTTCTAAAAGCGGCATCCTAGTTCATTCATAGAATGAGACCATGTGCAAAAGTTAATGTACTTCCGAAATATTATGAAACGCAAAGCCGAGCCTAAACCACATTGCAGAAACATCATGTTTTCAAACAACGTTGTTACTACGCCAAAATCACATGATTAAGCCATCATTTTATGCGTCGTTATTAAACGTCATACGACGCATTGTAAAAATGAGAAAATGCATCACCACTATGCTTCTTTAATTTACTGTAACAATGATTTCACTATACTTATTTTACTATTGCGAATATACAGTCAAAATACAGTTATTTATTATTTACAACATTGTAAACATACTTTAATCTCATATTTAAGGTTGCTTGCCGAAACCTGTTTGGCCTAATGCCGAAAGGTGAAACCTCTTATATAGTGCTGAAACGCCGAAACGCCGAAACTGCGAAACCTGTCAAAATTGCGAAACTGCCGAAATATGCCGAAACCTCTATAAAAGGTTTCTCCGTAGTTTCGGCATAGTTGATCATAAGATTTGCATATAGTTACGCCAAGTTACACCAATTAATAATATAATTTAGATGATCAAATAATCTACAGATAAAAGATTAAACTTCAATATTTTACCGTCGTCTTAGTTCTTT